CGTTGCACCGATTTTTGTACCAAATAAATTGAATTGAAAATAATTCTAATAAAAAATTAAAATAAATTATTAATGTTTATGCAATTGTCTCTTTCCTAAAGAAAATTATATGAACTTAACAAAAAAATGATATAAACTTACCAAAATCTCAGTAAAACATGATTAAGAAAAAACATAAGAATCCAAAAAAATCGATGCATTTAAATTTTGAAAAGTTGCACACATTTTTTCCTAAATAATTGAATAAAGTGACTTTAAATATCAATGATGAACCGTTTTTGTTACTAAAAAATGGGGACACAATTTTAAATGTACATCCCATCCAAATATCGGTTTTATTTGAAAATAAAAATTGCACATGGCTTTATCCAATTTACACAAATTTTTCGAAAGAAAAAATTATTCAATAAGATTAGAAGAATTGGTTAACAATTATACAACTATTTTCTTCCTAAATTTGTATCAAATTTGTACGGTTTTTAAATTAATTTGTATTTAGAATTATTTTCATAAATACTTGACACATTTTTTGCATAAGAATCTCCAAATTTGTTACAAAAAAAGATATGATTTAAATTTTGGTAAAAAAATAAAATATGATACGAAAAAAATGGGATTCAAAATTTGCCATAAGAATTTCCAAATTTGTTACAAAAAAAAAATAGGATTTAAATTTTGTTACTAAAGATTCACATGTGTTTTTTCAAACTTTCCATTAATAGTAAGTCAAACATTATATTTATTTGGTCAAACTTTCTATTAATGTATTTTTCCAACAACCTCTTTATATATACTAGTACATACCCCGTGCGATGCACGGGAAAAATATATTAAATGAGTTATTTTCACACCCTTGTCCGTTTAAGTCTAAAAAATAATAGAGTTATTATCTATTTTTTACCTCTTTTAATTAACGTTAAATCTAAAAAACAATAAGATTATTATAAGTTTTTTCCACATCTTTTAACCAGCGTTTTTTTAGCAAGAACATTAAATATGAGCATGTTAAGGCTAGCTTGTAATTAATATATTATCTCATTAAAATATTTATACTAATAAAAATTTAATTTTAGCATATAAATTTATCCCTTGATATAAGAGAAAGTAACAGTTTTACTTATTATTGTTCAATATATAATATTTAATTATTATTTTATTATATAATAAAAATAAATATTGTTAAATAGTGTAGGAATTGTTATAAAATTATATGAATTACTTTTTTTACAATATGGATTTAATATCTTTAAAAGATTTGATATATTCTTAATGATATAATAATATGAGATACGGATTTACATAATACTATGGATTTATTCCTTAATGTTAAGATATTGAATTAGGTAATATATGATTCACTAATTTGTAATCTGTCTCTTTTTATATTGAAAATAATCATGTGATTGAGTAGAGATAACAATTATCTATAAATTCCTTCATTTAAGGAATAATTTTTAAATTGGTCCAAGTGTTGAATGCAGTCCGATTATCTTGTAACTAAAATGAGAAGAGATTTTGAATTTCAAATTTTCACTTCAAAACCACACGTAAATTTGGATGCAGATTTTATTAAAAATAAAATGAGAAGAGATTTTGAATTTCATATTCACTTTAATATCTGTCAAAATTCTAAAAAATGAATTCAACAAAACCCATAATTCTAGGGGCATTTAATGCTACCATATTTTATGATTTAAAATATCTAAAACTTTCTAAATATGGTGTGCAATTAATTATTTTAAAAGATGAACCGCTTTTGTTACCAAAAAATGTGGGTACAATCTTGAATGTACATCCCGTCCAAATATCAGTTTTATTTTAAAATAAAAATTGCACGTGGTTTTAACCAATTTACACACTTTTTTTGAAAGAAAAAATTATTCATTAAGATTGGAAGAATTGGTTAGAAATTATACAACTATTTGTTTCGTAAATTTGTATCCAATTTGCACGATTTTTAAATTGATTTGTATTTAGAATTGTTTTCATAAATAATTGACACATTTTTGCATAAGAATCTCTAAATTTGTTACCAAAAAAGAGATGATTTAAATTTTGGTAAAAAAATAAAATATGATACGAAAAAAATGGGATTCAAATTTTTCCATAAGAATCTCCAAATTTGTTACCTAAAAAATAGGATTCAGATTTTGTTTCTAAAGATTTAACTGTATTTTTTCGAACTTTCCATTAATAGTAAGTCAAACATTATATTTATTTGGTCAAACTTTCTATTAATGTATTTTTCCAACAACCTATTTATATATATATAGATATAGATTGCTGACCACTTTTCTCACTAAAACACAATTTTATTTTATCTCCAACATAACAACATGAGGGAATAGAAAAATAAACAAAACCTCCTATGAAAGCCCACCTATACATATATGTCCTCCGAACTTTTGAGCTTGGTCATCCTTCTCAGAGGTGCCGACACTGTCGTTCATATATCATATCATTATTTGGGCTTCAAGTTTAGGATAGGTAAACACTTATACTACATAATAGGCAAATAAGACGGAAAGTAGTCGGGATTTTCATTATATATTTTTACAAAATTAATTTGTTGTCAAATTAAAAAGTAAATTACAAGAAGGTAGAACCTTATCTTTAGGAACGGCATTGTGATAACGAAAATGTTTGTTTTCTCTCCCACATCGTTGACAATTCAAATCTTCCTCTCTCTCCTCTTCTCACACACTCTCTCTCTCTCTCCCTAGATTTTTTTTTCGAGGAATACTAAATTAAATTAGTCGTACGAAAGCAAAGATGAGAGTGGCGGTGGTGGGGGCCGGAGTAAGTGGGCTGGTGGCGGCGTATGTGGCGGCGGAGGGCGGGGCGGAGGTCGTGGTTTATGAGAAGGAAGAGTACTTGGGCGGCCATGCTAAAACTGTCACCATTGATGACACGTCACTTGACCTCGGTTTCATGGTTTTCAATCGAGTAAGTTGTTTTCTTTCTTCCCTTTTTTACTTCATTAATTTTATTGTTTGTTTTAGTTTGCATTCCCCTTCGCTTTTGGTTATCTCGCTTTTGTAAACATTTTCTATTGGGATAATTTTTTCTTTCTTATTTTGGATGATAATTTTAGGCTTAGCAAGACCGAGATAAATAATGTGGTGGTTAGGTGTATATTGGGTTTTTGCCTATTCATGGGGATAGTTGTTTCACNTAGTTCATTGCCTATTTAAATTATGATAGAATATCAACATTTTAAAAACATGTTTAAAATGTTTTGCACTTATTCATTGTTGTTTGTCTCATTTTTTTCATTGATTTTATCAACATAATTTAAAAATAGTAATCAGTTAATGTACATTTTCTTCAAAAAGTATTATTCATACATTTCTGAATAAAAATAAAAAATACTATTCACTTCTCACATATTTCTAATTATCATTATTTATCAAACAATATAACTTGTCAACTACAATTATTATATTTTTACACTATGAAAACATATCATATTGTAATGAAAAATCTATAATAGTAAAATATTCTAATACAAACTACAATGGATATTCGAATGTTATAACTTTTGATAGAAAATTCAACAGAGATCAATGCTTAATATTATATTGGTGTTAAGCTTCTCTTTGCTAAATTCCTATTGAAACTTGATGATTCAAACAATAATTTTTCCAACTGTTTATTATATGAAGAATGGTCGGAAAAAATATCCTTGGATAAGTCATAAGCCAATCAAATTTCAATTAAAAATCTAATGGGAAACTAATCCTAGCAAAATATTTTCTGAAAAAATTTCATTTGAATTTTCTAATAGAAGTTATAAAATTCGGATGTATGTTGTCATTGTGGAAATTTTTTTTTTTAGAATATATTACGGTTAGAATTACCCCTTGGAATTTATTCCATTTTGTTCGCATTACCTAACTGTTGACTAGTCATGGTCCTCATGCAAAATGAAATTTCTTCCCAAATCTTAATTTCACAAAATATGTTTTGTACTGTTCACTGTATGCAAATATGCCTATATCGTGTTCAGTCAATTCTGATGGGTTGCATTACAATGTTTTATTCTAACAAGACGTTAATCTAATCAATAAGTAACTAAAAATTTTAAATTTAATTAATGGATCATATAATGTAATTATATTACTGTGACAAATCAACTTAATGAATTTCACTATTATCTCGTGTTATAAAACAATATCATTTACATAGTCCATATTAATATGACGGTCAGTCTAATTAAAACATATGGGTGCGTAAACTTTTAATATAAAATTTAAAAACTGCATAATATATATTAATGGCTTATGAATACATTGTTTCACATTAATGGCTTATGAAAATAAATATAAATTATAGGGTGGGGAGGTTAAAAAAATGTGTTTTGTTCGAATTCAGTAATTTTCATAATTTGAAAAAATAATGTAATCTCACTTTTAAATAATTTATGATAAACTATATTTTGTGTTATTTTACTTATTTACTCATATAATTTGTAAATTTTACTATCATAATGTGTTTCGTGCATCACTCGTAATGCACAGTTGTTTGAAATGAAGATGGTGTAATTATCCATATAATGCTTATATTATTTTTATATAAAGCTTATGTATTGCACTACTTACTGGCATTCCCCTAGTATACACATTGTAATATATGCTTGGGCAAATCGAAAATACTAAATACAATATAGAAACGATAATAAATACACCATCTCGTAGATTCAATGAATATAAGATAAAAAATAGGTACATCAATGTTATAATATTGTGTGGAAGTGATATTATTGACTTGGTCTCCCAACATATTTCATTAATTATTAGTTGGGATGCATATTAGGAATAGTAGTAGCCTTCAAAAGTTGAATTAAATATGAACAGCAAAGCAAGTGCACAATTGAAAATTATAGTAGAAGACGTGGCCCGAATTGTACCATTGAACTTGAATAGTTATGTAAAATGGTTGCATGCGAAAATATTTTGTGAGCCAACCAAAAGTTATCATTTTCGTGGCCCGCTGTTGAGTTACGTAGCTGTAGGATTGTACTCTTCTTGTTTATTGGTCCTTTTGTAAGTCAGGTGGCCCTGTCTTTCATTATTTTATTTTGAGACATAAATCTTCTCCGCTAGATTTTGTATATGATGGATGCTGGGGGCTCAGACCCTTACCAAGTTTAATTAATTCTGAGCTTGCAAGAACTTCTATTTTCATATTAAAATTAGCATTCAATAATTTCATTTAAATAATTAAATTTAATTAATTAAGGTGGAAGCACAAGATCAGAGAAGATAAGAAAGAAAATTGTAGTAACTTGTGACCCAGACGTAGGTTAATGTACGGAATAATCCTACGAAATATCTCGATCATCCATATAAATGGTCCAAATTCAATCTGTATAGCATAAATCACAAAAACAATATATTGTTCTAGAAATTGACGGAAATCCATGAACAAATAAATCACAAGCCACTCACATTTTCATATTTAATCATCCATTGAATACTCAAATTTCAATTTAAGACCAAACAATCAAAATTTTTGAAACATTGTAATTTAGTAATTTGTTATACATATAAACTGAAATATATTTAAATAATGTTTCCATTTTTAGATACCTGATGGATATATTAGAGAAGGAGAGCAGAAATTATATTCAGAAAAGAAAATATATGTGAAATTAATAATGTTAGATTATAGATTAAATTTGATAAAATCACGTTCCAGTCTAATTTCTTATAATCTCCCTCCTGCTATCCTTCAAGTCTTAAGGCATCAAGCAAGGCCGCACCATACACAGAAACTCCTTGCTATGCCCTTAAGCAGACCATACACATTATCCCTTCAAGCCGCGCCTTATCCTAATCAAGACCATACACAGCAACTCTATAATCAAGAAATTGTACTTTACTAAAGGCCGCACCATACACAGAAACTCCTTGCTATCCCTCCCCCCTTAAGCAGACCATTTATCCTAATCAAGACCATACACAGCAACTCTATAATCAACAAATTGTACTTTACTAGATTTATTAAGTATTTGGATTATAATTACGATGTGGTGTTTTAATTAAATTTTTTTATAAAAGTATAAATATTTTTAAAGAAAAACTATGAAGCACGGACTAGTCCATCTCGTATTTATTAATTTTTTAATATTAAAACAAAGCATTGAAAGCTTTAAATCTTTGAATGTGGGACAAGATCTTTGATCCAATTTGGAAAGTGTTCCTATTACCAAACATTTGAAGTGATAAGTCTTTTCGCTACAAGCATCAAATCCTACATACGTTTAATTTTCTAAACGAATAATAAACGTATTTTCAAACATGAAAATGAGACTAAAACCACAAGACAAAAGAAAAATCGTTAACTTCCTCCTTCAAAAATCATTCTCTGTTGATGAGTTGATAACGTAACTGAATAAGTAAAACAATCTATTCACGACTGTTTCCTAGAGATGGTGTCGCAAAGTCCTGTCAAGTACTTGATGATGATCAAGTTTTAAAATGATGTGAATGTTTCGTAAGATATATAATGGTAAGGTTTAATGGACAGGTCACATATCCAAACATGATGGAATTTTTCGAGAGGCTTGGAGTGGATATGGAACTCTCCGACATGTCCTTTGCCGTGAGCTTGGACAAAGGACAAGGATGCGAATGGGGTAGCCGAAATGGACTATCAAGTTTGTTTGCGCAAAAGAAGAATGCTCTAAATCCATATTTTTGGAAAATGATTAAAGAGATCGTCAAATTTAAGGATGACGTGTTAAAGTAAGATTTTCTATATAATACAAACCATGTCATCTTTAGTAGTAATGTTCTTGGATGGAAAAGAAAAAAATAAAATAAAATTTGAAATAAGTGAATGCTAATGTTAATTAGTATCTGACTTGCAGTTACCTTGAAGAGCTTGACGGTAATCTAGACATTGACCGGAATGAAACATTAGGCCATTTCATTCAGTCGCGTGGCTATTCTGAATTATTTCAGAAGGCCTATCTTGTGAGTTACGAAATATGTCTACTCTTTATTTCTTGCTTTTTTTTCCCCTCCATTTATATTCAAATTTCTTTTTTAATTTTTTCGTTTAGATACCGATATGTGGTTCAATCTGGTCATGCTCTTCGGAGGGAGTAATGAGCTTCTCTGCATATTCCATACTTTCATTTTGCCGAAATCACCATCTTCTACAGGTATCTATTAATTTTAATTTTTCAAACTGACCATTGTTTTATTTTTTTATATTATTATTTTTTTTTTCAGTTAGTTTG